TTTTTTTTTTTTTTTAATTTTATTTTTATTTTTATTTTTATTTATATTTTTATTTTTATTTATATTTTTTTATTTTTATTTTTATTTTTCATAAAAATATATAATATATTATTAAATAATTAAAATAAATTTAAATTATGTTATCTTAATGTTTATTTTTATATATATATATTTTTTTATTATAATAATAATTATGCATTTATTTTAAATATATTCATTTTATATTTTTATCTTCTAATTTTACTTATCCATATATTTTTAAAGAATTTTATAACTTATTATATAACTTAATTAATTCTAAATGTTAAATTCAAATTATCATTAATATTTAACTTTTTTAGTTAAATTAATTTATTTGAATAATTTAATTTTATATTTATTAAAACAAAGCAAAGTGTATAAATTATTTAAATATAAAATAAAATTAATTATAAAATATTAATATTTTTTTGATTTATATTTCTAATATACATACAAAAATTAATATTTTTTTACATTTTAATTTAAAAATTATAAATACTATAATAAATAAAGACTAATTTTATTTCTTAAAATATAATAATTCTAAAATAATTTATTTTTAATCTTAAAATTTTTATTTCTTTTATAAAATAAATATTTAAATTTTGATTTTATTAATGATCAATCCAAATGATTTTATCATTACATGTATATTATTACTTATAGAAGAAATGTAAATAAAATCTATTTTTTTTATCTAAAAATCACTTTTAACATTTTATTTAAAACATTCGATAATATTTTTAAAATTATTATTTATAATATCCAATATTTTATTTTATTTGATATTAAAATTTTTTTTTCTTTTTTTTCTTTTAGAGTTTTTTATTATATATATATTTTTAATTCTTTTAGAATATTTATTATATTTTAAATTAATTTAAAAATATATTTTTATATTAATACTAATTTTATTATAAAATTAAAATTTTTTGTATTGCTTATTTTTTTATTTATTATTATTATTAATATTAAATACAAAAATAAAATAATTATATTATATATTTATATTTATTATAATGTAAAATAATATATTTTTCTCAAAAAATTATTTCATATATAATAAATATAAATAGTTTATTAAAAATATAAAAAATTACTAAATTTTATAATATACATATAATATGAAAAATAAATTTGAAATGATTAAAATAATTAAAAAAAGAAAGATTTTTTTAAAATTTCGATAATATTTTTGAAAATTTGGTAATTTAAATAGAATATATATCTTATTGTGTAAATTGATTAAATTCAATAACTACAACTGAAGAACTAAATAATAATTAAAAGATTAATTTAAACTGTTAATAATTAAAAAATAGACAGAATATCTAGAAAATATAAAAATTAATATAATTTTTAATATTAAAAGAAGAATAAAAGAAATGATTAAACTGAATCGATATAATAATGTGATTATTAAAGATTTTGATATAGAAGATAAATAAAGAAATGAAAGATAAAGCAGAACTGATATAAATATATAAACAATATGAAAAAAGTATTATAAAATTGATAAAAAAATAAAGCTAAAAAAAAATATAGGAAGAATAATAAATAAAGATTTGATAAATATATATATATAAATAAATTTATATATATATATTTATATTTAGAAAAATATTTATATATTTTATTAATTTTATATCATTTTTTTTATTTATATTCAATTTTATATTACATATTTTATTTAATTATTACGATATTTAATACATTCTTTTTATTTTATTATAATATTATTATTGTAATTCTAAAAAAAATTATTCATTTATTTATATATTGCTTTAATTTTTTTTTTTTTTTAAAGTTTTTTTTTTTTAAAAAAAAAAAATAACTTAGAGCTTTATTATATTTTATATATTTCATATATTTAAAAATACATCTTACACTTATTCTTTTTTTTAAATTATTTATTATTTAATATATTTTTCGACTTCTTTACAAATAAATTCAATTGCATTTGTTAAAGTTACATTTTAAATAGAAATAATAATTTATATTACTCACATTAATGCTATTTATACCTAATATATGATATAAATTGTGTTTTAAAATTTAATTTATATTCTAGATAAGATAAAGATTTGATTTAACAACAAAATACAATTAATATTAATGTATATAATTTAAATATATATTATATATATTTAATATTCAAAATATGTGAAAAAATAAATACATTAAAAACATATATATAATAAATAGTTATTATATATTACATTTATAAAAGTTTTATCTATAAATTTATTTAAATACATTCATAAATATTTTTTATTTTTATTTTTTAAAATTAAAAAAATGAATATATATTTATATATATAATAACTATAATTATTTTATTAATGTAAAATTAAAAATATCTATATTTGAATATCATTATTATTATTAATTAATAAAAAGATGAACATGGAAAGACTAATGAATGACATTAAATGAAATAATAAAAATTTTAAATAAAGATATTTAATTAATCAAAAAAATAAAGTATTTTATATAAAATTAAAAATAAAAAATAGTTGTGTTATATATAAATATGTAAAATTAATTAAATTATATAAATATATAAATTTATATTTTTTTAAAAAAATATATTTAGTTTTTTATTATATTAAATATAAAATAAATGGACCACGAAAACATGGAAGAAGAATAGTAAACTATTAAAATAACTAATTAAATACCTAATATATTAATAACTGGAACTCCAGGTGTTGGTAAAACAACAATTGCGCGTTTATTATGTGAATATGTAGATTAATTAACATATATAAATTTAGGTAAAATATTAATACATATATAAATTATATTAAATAAAAACTATAAGGTGATTTAGTTCGAGAAAAAAAATTATATAAGAAATGGGATGTTCTTTTTGATGTTCCAATTTTTGATGAAGATATGGTATGTGATGAACTTGAAGTTTTAATGTAAAAAGGAGGTATTGTAATAGATTTCCATACTTCTGGATTTTTTCCGTAAAGATGGTTTGATTTAGTTATTTTATTAAGATGTAATAATACAGATTTATATGATAGATTAAAGGCTAGAGGGTATAATGATAAAAAAATAACTGAAAATATTGAATGCGAAATATTAGAGGTAACTAGTCAAGAGGTTTACGAAAGTTATGATAAGGATATTATTGTGGAACTTTATAATGAAAAAAATAATGATGTAGAAAAAAATATTAATATTATTATTTAGTTATTAAAAAATTATAAAAATAAATCAAGTATATGATTTAAGTGAGAATATATATATATATATTATATATATATTTATATATAAATATATATGTATATGTATATATATATTCATATTTTTATTTTTTTATTTTATATGTTTATATTTTTTTTAATAATTTTATTTTAAAAAAGTTTTATAATTTATTTAAATTAATATATATAATATATTATAAATTTTTTATTTATTCATCAAAATTTTAATTTTTAAATTTTATATATCTATTTAATATTTTTTAAACTTTTTTCTTATTAAATAATATATTATCTCTAAAATTAATTAAATTTAAATAATTTATCTAATTATTATTAACTAAATTAATTTACCTTTCATTAGAATTTTTTTTTTTCATTAAAATTAAATTAATATTTATAAATATTTATTAATATAAATAATAAAAAAAGAGAAAAAAAAAAAAAAAATAACTTAAAATTTAAAAATAATAAAAAAAAAAATGACATAGTAACATATATTATGTTTAGGTTTAGATAATTCTGGAAAATCATCTTTAATTAACCGTTTAAAAACTGGTTATTGTCCCTTTTAGGAACCCACCCGTAACATAAAAGTATCTTCAGTAGAATTTAACGGCTAAAATCATACTATATATGAAATCGGCGGGAGCAAAGAAAACCGTGAAATATGGCAGGAATACATTTAAAATACTCGGGGTTTAATTTATGTAATTGACGGGAAAGATAATGAAAGATTTTCAGAATAAAGATAATATTTATAATAAATTTTAGAGAATTCTAAATTATAAGAAGTTCCTTTATTAATATATGTAAATAAAATAAGTTAATAATAGCCAGATTTAAAAGGAATTATTAAAGAGTTAAATTTACACGAGATTTAAGATCGGGAATTGTTTATTTAAGGTTGTGATATTTAAAGTGGAGTGGGTGTAAATGTTGGATTCGATTGGATTTCAAAGGCTATTTAAGGGAAAAAACAGTTTTGTTTTGAAGCAGAACCTCGTGTAATAAAAGGAAGAGGAAAATTTTAAAAAGAATAGGAAGAAAATAGCAGTAAGTCTTAGTAAACTTTTGCACTTTTAATGCAGGATAAAAAAGTAAAAATGATGAATCCGGTTTAATAAGAATAGGAGTATGTTAGATTGGAAAAGGAAAGAATAAAAATCGAAAATATGAACTTTTAATTAATTAATTTTAAAAAAAATAAAAAAAAAATGGCACCATATGATATTAAACCATCGCCTAATCCTAAAATAGATGTCAATTTAGAGTTTTTTTTAACAGATAATATTAATACTATACCATAAATTTAGACTGAAATAGATTGCTAAACAGATGATTTCTTACCTCTACCAACTTCTTCTAAATATATTCCCAAAAAAACAGGTATCGATGCTTCTACTTAAGTGGAAGATGTAAATATATATATATATATATATTTATTTATTTTTAGCTATTTTTTTTTTATCCTTTGATTAAATAAATAATAAATAAAAAAAATACATTTTTTTTTTTAATTATATTAAAACAAAAATTAAAAAAAAAAATGTTGAAAAGAAATATAAATAAAATTTATATATAATTTAATAAAGTATGAATTATTTGATTTTAATAGAGAAGTTACACCTATTGTTGATATTATAGTTACAAAAACAATGGAATAGGTAAATTTGATAATTAATAAATAAAATATATATATATAAAAATATATATACTTATAATAAATATATATATATATATATATATATATATTTATATATATATTTATTTATTTATATATTTTAATTTTAATATATATATATATATTTAGTCCATGCTAGAAATAGAATAAGATGAAGAAATAATTCGAATGTAAAAATATAAGAAAGAATATTAAGAAAGGTAAAACGAAGAAAAGAAGAAGAAATTTTAAATATATGAAAAAGAAGTGCATATAATGTAATAAAAAGATTAACTTTTAGACGTGTATAGGTAAAAAGAACAGGCTAAAATTGAAACGTTACGTCGAGTTTAAAATTATGCAATAAGTAAATAATATTTAAAATTTTGTAAGGTTAATGCAATTTCTTCTCTTTACTTTAACGGTTATTATGTAAATGATTTAAAATTAGATATTCAAACCGAATTTCTAGATTGGCTTGTTAGTGAAACTGGAAAAGAAATAGATTCAAGACTATAAATTAAGAATAATGTAGATGGATTATTTGATGGGGAATTAGAAAAATTACATGAGTGTAAATTTGCGCATTTATAAAGAATTGAAAAAAAAAAACTAAAATTATAAGAAAAAAGAATAAATGAAAATTAATACACAAAAATTATAAGAATATTCAATAAAGATTGTAAAAATGTTCCGACAGTATTTTCTATGCATATTTAAAATTTTTGGAAGGTAGTCTAGAAGAATGGACTTAAAATTATAATACTAGGATTAATACTTTGAATGGTATATATGAATAAAATATATATAAATATATATATATATATATATATATATATTTTTAAAGAATAATTAGATAATAATGAAATTACTGAAGAATAAAAAACTAATATTATAAATGATGAATTTCCTTTGGTTTCTTCTACTTATTTTGGTATCAATGTTAATAAAATGAAAAAAATAGGGTTTTCTTTAGCTCATTCTTAATACTATAATACTTTAAAGAAGGACAAATTTTTTAATTTAGATGTACTTGTAATGCATAAAGACGGTCGAATATTACATAGAATAAATCCTTAAAATCCTCGTATAGAAAAATACATTAGATATAAAAAGGACATTAGAGACATTAAAAAAAAAATAGCTGATGATGATTTTGTAGTTATAGATTTTCAAAAAGTACCCTCAGACGTATGGGGCTTTTTAGTTTTTGTAAAAATGCCTAATTTAAATTTATTAGACAGTCTAAAGGAAAACGAAATTTTAAAATTCAGTCGTACAGGTGTATAAGAATACTAATATTCAATAAATGTAGATAATTTTGATATTTTAGATATTGCAAAAATAGAGGATATGATCAGATAGCCAGAAAATGATGAATAGGGAAACATTTAAAACGGATATTTAATGAGTTATGTATTAACGAAAAGATAAAATTCCGGAGGATGGTTTTTGGAAACTATTAAATAAACTTCGAAAGGTTTTTTTACAGAAAACGAGGAAAATGAGTATATGTAAAAAATAGCTAAATTTTGGCATTAAAATGAGGGTATTAAAATAATAAAAAAGACATAAAATAATAATGAAGAAGAACAATTAGGCGAAAATTTAGAATAATCTTAAATATCTTAATAATTATAATCATCATAGAGTTTAATTTGTTAATATGCTTAAGTATATGATAATATATTATTTAAATTTAATGAAGATTATTCTGAAACAAATGGACTTAATTATGAATAATTAATAGAGTTTTTAACTAATTATATTTTAGAATAAGATACTTAATATTTTAATAAAAGTATTTGGGGAATAGAATTTTATATAAATGGAAAAAAATTAGAAAAAATTAAATAGTTGAAAAAATGCATAAATATTACTTCCTTAGAGGTCAGAGCTAAACCAGAACCGATTCCAGAAAAAGAAGAAAATATAGAAGATGAAAATAATGATGAAAGAGAAGAAAATAATGATGAAAATGAATAATAATAAGAAGATTGAAAAATAAAATAAAATAAATAAATATATATATATATATATATATATATATATATATATATATATATTTATATATATATCAATATATATATCAATATAGATAATTATTTATATACTTTAAAATAAAATTTATTTATTCTATAATAAATAATTCAATTTTTTTTTAAAAAAAATTTTTCTATATATTTTTTAATTTTTTTTATAAAAAAAAGCATTTCTTTACCTCCTATTTCCGCTTCCTTACCCAAATAATTTCCACATAGTTCCCAAACTGAATTTAAATGTTAAATAATCAAATTAAAAAACTCTTCTTCTGCTAAAATTTTTTCATAAATTTCCAATACTTATACTAAAAACAGTTCCTTTTCTCCATTTTCCTTCTCATCTCCATTTACTATATTATTTAATACATTCATAATGCCTTCTTCTATTATTTATAGGCTTTTAAAGTTAATAAAATTATTTAAATATCCACTTTTGAGTAAAAATTTTAAAAATCTATTATGAAAAACGACATATTGAGTCATTTCAGAAGTATCTATACCTAAATGACCTTCAGTATACTTATCAATTACATTCTATATAGCCTCAATAAGACCTAATTATGAAAGTTCGTTTAAAAAAAGATCATTTTTGGAAGAAATAGAGTCTAAAATAAATGTAATTCTTTCTATATTTTAAGTTTCTTTTAACTAAAAAATAAAGCTTTAGCGAAATTATGGCATATTGAAATTATTTTGAGTATACTGAACTTATTATATAAGATTTTAATCGTTTTTAGGCTTAGATTTTGATTTTTAGAGAATTGTTTAAATTGAGAGTTTTATATCATAGTCAATTTCTTAGCTGTGGAGTATGTTTTCGAAGGCTTATAATAATTTAGGGGGGGTTTATACAAATAATTAAGAAGGCGTAAGGTCGTTTTCTAGAAGTTCGAGGGCTGTTTTAGCCCCTTTTATATGATTTTGTTATATTGAAGAGTAGAAAATTGACAATATATCCTAAAAATCGTCTTTATTGGTTATTTATTTAGTGTTAATACGGTTTATAAGAGTATTAATTTGCCTACGAAGTATTTCTTAGCGAAATGTGAGATCATCTGATGACAGAAGGGAGTCTAAGTTTTCCTAAAAAAGATCTATTTTTGAAGGAAAATTCTCACTAAAAATGCAGGCTATTTCCCAAGCAGTTTAAGAGAAAAAAAGAAGATCGTTTTCAGTATTTTATTGGGTTGATATGCGAAAATATGAAGTACGAAAATAATTCATGTTTAAAGGAATTATTAATTCAGATTATGTATTTTATGGAGGCTTGATTTATATATGTGTTTCAGATTAGATAATTAATAATTCATGATTATGAGCTTTTAAAAATAGTTGTATTTCTTTTATTGTTTAATCGTATTTTTATTTATTTTAAATTGGATCAAGTACAATAATACCAATATATATTGACATTATTAAATTAATTAATTAATTAATTAATTAGGTTAATAATTTATTTATTTATTTAAATTTATTTTTTATAAATAAAATTTTGATTTGTTTCAATATTATTTAATTTATTATATTTAAATATTTAATTTTATTATTATTCTTTAATTATAATTATTATATTTCTTATATATTTATAATTTTAATTTTTTATATTTTTAAACAAAAAATATTAATTATACAATTTTACATATATTTTAATTATATATAATTTTTTTTTTATATTAATTATTAAATATTGCATTTTTTTTATATATTATTATTATATTTTCTTTAAAATTTAAATTATATTATGAATATTTTTTTTTTAATTTTAAATTTTATTTCTAATATTAAAATATTGTTTTATTATAATAAAAAAATTAACAAATTCATATTATTTTTTTCTATTCATACAGCTAAATATTTATTTATAATACTTTGTTTTAATATATTTTTTATTCATATTAATTTATCAATTTTTTTTTTAAAAAAATTATATATATATGTTATATTTTATAATTTAAGTATCTAAATAAATATATTTTTTTTATTTTTAAAATTATCCATATATTTTATGTTTTAATATATATTCATTTATTTTAAAAATAGATTAAGCAAAAAATAATTATTTACTATCTTTATATTTTACATATTTTATTATTATGTTTTGTATTTTATTTATTTAAATAAATCAAAAATAATATTTTTCTTTTTTAATTATATTTATTTTTGTTTTTGTATTTTAATAAAAATATATGAATTGATAATTATTGTATACATTAATATGTCAAAAAATAATAATTTTTATTAAATTAAATAAAGATTTAGGGTATATTAAAAATAATTTATCTTATATGTATTTAAACTGTAATATTTTATATGATTAATAATTATAATATTTTATTAATTTAAAATTTATGTATTTATTAAATTTTAAAAATTAGAAATTAAAATTTAATATAATCAAAACATTAAGATAATCAATTTTTTTTTCTATTTATATATTTCATATATTATAATAAAACATTGTTTATTATTGTTATTAATATAATAATAATTAATGTTTTATATAGATATTTATAAGATTTATATAATATATTTTTTAAAAAGAGTTGTTCTATTGTTTTTATATTATATATATATATATATATATATTATTTTTATTTTTTTTATTATAAAAAAT